GTGCCCAGGTAATGGTGCTTTTGTGCACACACGTATTTATCCTCCCGGTGGGGAAGACCTGAGTTTCAGTCACTGCCACTTGATGAGCCCCAGTGAAGAAGAATGGGAAGGTCATGTTTCCTCACTAAACAATCTGAGGCTTTTCCGCTTTCCCTCATGTTCCCATGAGAAAGAATCTAACTGAAGCATTCTCAAGGGCTTCTCACAAGCCCTTCCCTGCAGGGCTGCCAGTGGAAGACAAAGAGCTCTAAGGGGCCTTCTCCTGGGGCAGCAATGAACAGAAGTGAAGGTTTTCTATTGGGATTGAAGAAGTGTGTTCTGTTGCTTTCCTCCAACTTTCTACTCAAACTTCAGAGAAGCATATAACCTGAGAACTACCCAGCCGTAGCGTTGACCCAGAGGTGCCGGTCACCCTGGCACAATAGACACATCTTAACTTGCTTCTCTGTCCACCTCTCCCCACTCACATCTCCTGTGGCAAGGCCTCTTACCTTTCCTAGTATCTTCCAGCTACCCTGACATCTCTTGGGTGTGCCTTTCCTGTGCTCATAAACAATAAGATTTCTAATCAAATTTCTAATCAAATGCTATCTTAAATACCTGGAATTCAGCATTTGCTAATTATGCAATCTTCAATAGAACTTTTTTTTTTTTGGCATTAGTAAAGAAGTTGATGACATTAATAGGATGTTTCCTAAGATGTGTGACCCTGAGGGAAATTACTGCTTCAAGACCCTGTCTACATAAACAATTTGACTCTGCAGAACCATGCGGCCAGTCCGGGCCCCTGCAGAAGAGACACAGTGCCAGTCACGGCACACAGCTGGGAGGCTGGCTCGGTCAGGGGTCCCGGCAAACTCTGATTTGTAAGCACAAGCCCCTCAGAATATTTGGGACCCCATGTGCCAATAAAAAGGAAGAGAAATTTGACGAGGAGAAACAGGGCTCAGGGCCCAGGTGGGTGCCAGGACCAGGTGGGTCCTGAAGGTTTAGAAGGGATTCCTGCCAAAGGGCGCTGCTGGCTTCCGCCACCCCATCACTAAAGAGGGACTCAGAGCAGCTTGGGGAGGATGCACCAGGGAATGGGCTCCGTAAGATACAGGCCAGTTGGTGGGGACCCAGTGGAGTGCGTGGTAGTGCTATGAGGACTTAATAAAATTATGTACACAGAGGATGTCACTGTACCAAACTGTTGGGTCCCAGCCGGGATGAGCCCCCTCAACCACCCCCGGAGCTTAAGCACAAGATCATAGCAGGAAGAAAAACATCCTGTTTTGTCTGCCACCTGTGTGAGTTGATCAATCTGTGGGCGGCTGATCAATATCTGCCCTGATTGCAGTGAGGCATGTGAGGGAGACTTCCTCTGGCCCCCAGGCCAACACCCTGGTACTAAGGGTATAGAAGGGAGGCTGAAGAGAAAAATAAAAAGACGTTTTGCCGCAACCATCTGCATGAGCTGCTTCTTCAACCTCGACGTCCCCCGCTCAGACTTGTATCCCTGCCGTGCGGGCGCGGCACCAAACCAGGATTACAGGTGACTTAGTGTAACACCTGTAAGTCACTGTTATCAATGACTGTTGGTAAGTGCATGTTTTTATTTTTCTGCTTCTCTATAAATTACATGACAGATCATCTCTTGCTGCCACTCATACTTGAGCATGCTACTAATGTTCCCATCACCACGGTGCCAGGGATGCTGCAAGGATCAGACTGTGATGAAGAGGTGCTGAGCTGATGGCCCCCTGTATTTTTATGTTATGAGCTCTTTATGGGCTACTGAACCAGCAGGGCCTCATCTGTGCTTGTCATTTGCCAGTTTACTTTCCAATCCATCCCATCTCCTGTGCTGTAGACTGTAGGAAGTTAGATTTTCCAAACTGGCTTCCCAGCTTCCCTGCCAGCTGTATATGGTTAAGCTGACCTGTGCAAGGCACGAGCAGAAGTTTGAAAGAATGTCTTCGGGCACGGTATTTTTCCTTTTCCCTGCATCAGGAGACACTTGGGCAGTGACTATCTTTTTCAAGGCTCCAACTCCTTTCAGAAAGATCCTTCAGCTGTGCTCACCCTCAGTGAGGTCAGAGCCACCACTATGTTGCAGCTTCTAGAACATAGCCCCAACTCTGACCCTTGCTCCTCACTCAGCCCTCTTGGCCGAGAAACAGGAACAGCTTCCTGCATTTGCTGATGTCAGAGTCAATGCCTATCACCCCTGGCTGCTTTTTAAAAAGTGCATTTCCTTCTCACAGAGTCCCTGATGATAAAAGTTTTTAACTCATTTTATAAATGAGAGGTCTAGAGCTGGAAGCAAAGAATGAATAGCCAAGATCACTTAGATAATAAATAATAAGGCCAGAATTTGAGTCCTTTCTTTCCGGATTTCTATTTCTTTATCTTAAAATAATTAATAAGCATTTCCAGTAGGCATCTGCTAAATGAATTCATGAAATGGATTCATTTAAGAAATGAAAAGGAAAATGAATGAATGCAAGGAAAAAGGAAAAAGGAAAAAAAGGAAAAAGGAAATGAATGCAATTATTTCTATATTCTTAATGTGCTTTTAAATTTACAGTCAGGAGTGGACATTCCTTTAGCCATTCAAGTATCTGTTGAGCACATCTGGTGACTCCAGCTCTGTGATGAATTCTAGAGTTACGGTCGCACAACAAGCATACCTCTAATCTCATTTAGAAGCAATAGAAGAGGAGTGAAAGTTATAAACAAACCAACTGAATGTAGATGCAAAACTGATTGGAAAAAAGAAAAGCAGTAGCCCGAGATGTCACCTAACACTCTGCCTTCTAGCTGAAAAGGAAGCAGGCAATGTGAGTCACATTGGAAACACCAAACTGAAGTCTGTTATTTTCTCT